TTTCCTGCTGTAATTTAACCCTTACGTATCTGGTGCCCAAGCTGCTTGTAGGATTGCTCCCACACACTTGAAGTGATAGAAGTTAGTTTGAGACTTTGCATCTACATAAACAAAGACCTGTTTTGTCAAAAGGACACTGGGATTTTGTGCAGGTACTTCAGGCACAGGTGATAATTACTTCAACCAGCACAGCGGCAGGAAATACTTATGTATTTCTATGCAATATGCACTTAACCTTTAAGTCAGTGTCACTGCAGCATTTTTTGCTATGAGTGCAGCCATCAAAATACAAATAAATGCCTCTTTAATTGGTTGACTACCTTTAGCACTCTCACTGCAGCTCTCAGCTATCGCATTTCTTGTGATGCAGCCTTCATTATTAGCAATGACACAGTAGAAAAGCGGCAAACAGCTACTGAATGTGTATCTCCTCCACTGCCTGTCCTACCAGTACCCAAAAAATCCCAACCTTATGATTCTCCCAACATCTTAGGGTCTTGTCCCCCAGCACAGCAGTTCTCACAGGCCAACTGCACAGTCAGTACAGTACAGGTCTGCTCTCCTGGCAGTCCTACAGCAATCTAGAGAACAAGAAATGGAAAACAAGATGGAGGGTTGAAGAGACACTTACTCTTTCTCTTTGCTTTCTTTTTCCACTTGAGTGAGACATTCCCATTTTTCCTCCTGCTTCTTCCTACACATCACAAGGACCATGTCTGTCTTTATCTGTATGGTGAACAGCAACAGGAAGGAGCTTAGAATGCTTTGTAAAGGGATGCTGCTTACAACCACAGTGAATAAGGTTAGCTTACCACACAGAACTCGTTCTATATTCACAAGTTCCTGAAACATTTAGCTCCGCTACTGATTATGTACCATATTGAAATGACACTATGTACTCAGCTTTGGGATACAAAGCATTAACTTCTTTGTGGACAGTTTAAATGGCATGATTAATATAATACTAGTACGGTACTACAGTACCCATACAGAAGAACATGCAGTGCTGCAGAAACACCAATCTGTTTCTCAGGATAGTCTGGTACAGGGTGGCTGTATTTGCTGGACTTCTCCAAGAATACCAAGTTCAGGTACAGGCTCTCCCCATTTATTTCTCCAAGGATACGAAACTATTTTTAGGGCATTGCTTAATCTTGCAGTAAGTCCACATGTTACAAGAATGCTTAATTGCAACCCTGACCCACACCAATCAGTGTTTCTCAGGATGCTAAAGGTACTCAGGATAGTCTGGTACAGGGTGGCTGTATTTGCTGGACTTCTCCAAGAATACCAAGTTCAGGTACAGGCTCTCCCAATTTATTTCTCCAAGGATACGAAACTATTTTTAGGGCATTGCTTAATCTTGCAGTAAGTCCACATGTTACAAGAATGCTTAATTGCAACCCTGACCCAATTTCCCAAAGAACTCCTGCACGCCACAGCAGACAAGAGCCTGCTGGAGCGTTAGCTCAGCTGAGCATGTACGTGACCACTGCTCACTTCTAAGACACATTAAAAATCACCAGAGCACCACTCTCATTTATTTCAGTAGTTTTAATTTTACCCTGTCCTAGTTTTAGGGCAGTTTCAAACTGAACTGTTATTTCTTCACATCTGATATCACTAAGTACAGCATACAAGGTATTTGGGACACCACTAAGCCCAGAGAGGTGCTAGGAGTAGCAGCATATGGGCACTGTCACCAGTGGCAGCCATCAGCAGTAAAGTGTTACTAGTGTTCACTTCTGGAACAACACACCCTTACAGAGGAGGTTTCAGACTTTGCTTTAGGTTTTATGCAGATTGAAGCTTCCCAAGATTTCAGTCTGCTTACAAATATTTTAGGCCTTAAAATTGCAAAGAATTTCTCAGAGATACTAAAAGCACAAAGATGCAAACAGATGCTTAGTGGAATTTTCTGCTTAATTATTTCTGAAATTCTACTGGACAGCTATTAAAAAAAAACCAAACAATATCCAGACGTGATCTTTTGAAATAGAAGCCCATGGATTCCAGAAAATAATTCCACGATTATGTAAATTACAGATTAATAAAAACCATGTTTGCGGTGAAGAAATTTCATACACCTAAGGGAGGGACTGAAGGTTAGTATTGAGTCTCTTGAACTTTGAACCAGAGTCACGCAATGAACTTCGAGGGACCTACATGTCTCTTAACAGACAAGGTGCACTGACCTTTCTCGAGCTGCCTTCCACAGAGATGGGTTTCAGGAGGTTGTTGAAGGTCATGGTGTAATTCTTCCCGTTCAGATTCTTCACTAGCAGATCAAATGACCTGGAACCAGAAAGTAGAGGGAGGAAGGGCAGAAATATTCCAAGCACTGCAGGACTATTGTGCCTTGCCACCAAAAACAGTGTCTGAAAGCCTTTAGCAGGTGTACTTCTTGGGAAAGCATGTCAACAGGCTTAATTACTTCCTTCCCAGGGCTCACAAATCTTCAGTTGGATTTAATACTGAGGACTTAAAAGGACCTATCCAGACTTCAAATCAAATCAAGGGTTCTTTCTACCTCACTGATCTCCCTCAACCTTGGAAAGGCAGGTTTACTTAATGTACACTCCAGTTCCACCACCATCAAAAACCAGGGCTAGTGCTACATATCCTGTCAAGTGTGATGAGGTGCAACAGCTACCTCATTGTAAAATGAAAACACGCTGATATCCTCTAAGGAGTTATGCTTAAGGGTTTGTGGTAAGTGCTACTAAAAGCTAATACTGCTCAAGTTTAAAAACAAAAAAACAAAAACAAAACCCAACACACAGGCTGAAGGGATGGGGAGCAAGGGCTAATCCAAAATAGAACTCAATACGTGGTTGCACTTCAAACAGTGTTCTTCACCGATGATGTCCCCTGTGAAATGGTGCAACACAACAAACTCACCTCTCTGTGAAATTCACCTGCACATTCTCAGCTGGAAGCTTCTGGACTCCATTTAAAGAGATGTAAATCTTAATAAACTTATCTGACTGATCCCAACCTGCAATGAAAAAGAAGATAAAATTCTACCTTTTCTCCATAATCTTCATGCATTCCACTTCAACTCCCTCTGCAAAATCTTCTAGAAACAAGTAGGAATTCTGCCTTACTGGAACATTCTTCAGAGCGATAAGGGAAAGACATGAATTACTCAGGAATAACTTGAGAGCAAAAGCAGGTCCTCACATGCAGCCCTGTTCCCCAGCATCTGCAACTTTGGCTAAAAAACACCTACCAGCTCAGGTAGAAGGAGAGTAACCCTCTCTGTGCAGGGGGAGTCAGAGGTAGCTGTCTACTTTTGCTGCAGTTTCCCTGACCCACTTTTTCCCCTGCTCCCCGCATAACAAGTATCTTGAGCAATTCCCTCTCCTTTCACCTACATGGTGAGCAGAGAGGCCAAAGCTCACTCTTACATTTCCTGCCAAGCACTAAGCAATGGAGAAATACTAGTTGGTACACCAGGGACTGTTGATGCATCCCACCAGTTCTATCACACAAACACGCTGTGCTGGGATGGCACAGTAAGCACGTAGTAGCTTTTAAAGTGGGATCTCCAGTATGAAACAAACACTGAAGAAGGCTTCTTTGTAACGCAAAGTGGCAGCACAACTCACATTAACACCACCCTGCCTTCTCTTCAGAGAGATGCTGGAGCTCTAGTAAGCGTTCAGAAAAGTAATCCTACCATAATTGTTTATTTTCACCGTGTACCCTCCCAGTGATGACTTTTCTTCCTCTGCCAAGTCTTTTGGCTTCGGTGAAGGCTGATTCTTGATTTCTAGCTCTAATTTGTGTTTCTCTGTCATCAGGACATCACAAAGTCGCTTCCTCGTGGCTTTCGTAAGCAATTCTTTAACCTCTTCCAAATCTTTCTGCAACTGATTCAAGAATAAAAGATCGCACACACGCATTAGATACACTTTTCACTCAATGTTCACAGCTTAGCTCTTTCAGTTAATACGTTTTCAAGTTTCCCAGGTGGAGCAGTTTCAGGTTTATCAAGTCAGTAGTTTCCTCTCCCGCTACACCCCGTTAAGCACAAAGCGCCCCGTTCCTCACTTCCCGGCCATTCTGCTTCCACTTGTCGGGCAGTATTTCAAGGGTTAACCCTGCCATCAGTTAAGATCCGATAAAGATTCGGCAGGTCCTCAGCGGGGCCTGGGCCGTGCTAGGAGCGCGCAGCACCGTGTCGGGAAGAGACACCCGCAGCGCCCAGCC